CTGACCCAGTTGGCGGCCCCATCACGGGGCCCTGTTGAGACCCTGGCGACGTGAAGTCCCTCGTGTCGTTCTCTTGTTTGCTCCCAGCGCTGAGAGGGAGCTGCTCGGTGTAGGCTTTTCTTCCAGAAAAGTCGTTTGAGTAGGTGGAAGAGCAGCGCTCGAGCACTTCACCTTGTCTAGCACCAGCAGTTGTGGGAGGATGAAGAGGAGAGCGCTGAGGAGGAAGCCGATCTGTTGATGTGCAGATACCATAGTGAGGAGCACTGGTGGGAAATGGAAGGTGTCAAAAGCGTATGGCAAATAAGTGAGGTTTAGGTAAACACAGCAGCAGTTTCCTTCCTCTGCCCTCCTCCCCGACAGTTTGTCACAATCGTTTAGAGGGCTGTGGACATGCTCTTAACAGTGTGTGGGTTAACAGCGTGCTCTTAACAGTGTGTTTTAGTAATGTGAGTGAAGATTTAGGAGCCTTTGTAACAGCAGAGCAGTTGCCCTTTTAATTTTGGCTGGGCTAAGTCAGAAATGCGTGTTGTGTGCCAGAAGCGTAAGGCCACCAAATAGTGGTGAAAACAGCTAACGCTGCAAAATGAGCTGCCTGAAATGGCAAGCAGTGTCAGCATAGGCCGTACATCGCTTATGCCCTTTAGTAGGGTTTCACAACTCCTCCTCTGCTGTTAAAGTGGAAAATCCTTTCTTTTGTCTATTCCTCTCCGTGTGGTATAGATGCTAATAGCAGATGTGCAATGTTAATAAGAAAAAATATTTCTCCCTGAGAAACTGAACTGTCATGTTATGTCGGATCCACTGCTTACAAGCTAGCAGCTATATATTATTGCAGAAGAAAAACTGCTAGCGATCTTGCTTCAAAAAAGCTCAAATATTTCAAATAACTGTTGCTCAGGATTTTTGTAAACACTTCCTCAGGTTTATGTAAATACTTGTTTTTCAGGTTTTTGTAAAACCCGAAATTTGGGTATTTGGGAAAATATTTTTTGTTTAACTACACCAATGAATGTGAGTAAAAGTGATGATGTGCAGACTTGGTTCTGAGAAAGTCACATTGATGCACTGATAGCTAAAATAAGCTTTGCATAATTATCATTTTGCTTTCTATTTTAATACCTGTACCTTCAAGAAGGTATTTTTAATTCAGAGCAGTAGTTGATACAAAGGGAACAGAAATAGTTGTTGTGCTGTTGGTGGAAGCCTCCGGATAGTGCTGTATAGTGTGTTTGCTCAGTTTGCTTTGTGCCTGCTGCTTTTCCATGGGAAACTTTTAGTGCTCTGGCAGTTACAAAATACAGTCTACCAGGTTCCTTTTTTGTGTAGTTACTGTAGTTAGCGATGGTGCATTTATACAGTGGTAAGTATGTGTAGGAGCACAGCAAAAGAAGTCTGTGTAATGAAATAAATGGAGAATTATAGGTGAAAAGTCCTGTGGGTCTGTCTTTTTCTTTTATAAGTGTAATTGTTTCTGTAGTCCAGGGTTTTGCTAGTGTCCAGTGTGAAGCCTGTCTTTTTCCAAGCATGACAATGAAAATCTTGGTGTTTTGTAACTTCCTTGCTGCAAAATACATGTTTGAAAAATAGATACATTCTGCACTTTTTTTTTGTGGTGTTTGAAAGTAGTAGGAATTATGTATATATATTTCAGTGGAATGCCCTGTTTGGAGGGTGAAAATAATGGCTTTTTATATGCTTAGCCTCAGGTAAGTTACTCGTCTAACGCAGTTTATATTGCTGTGGCTCCGGCTTCGGAAGCGCACGCCGGGAGCAAGCGGAGCAGCAGCGGCGCGTGGGCGCGGGGACCTCGGCAGGGCGGCCGAGCCCCGTCCGGGCCGCGTCTGACAACGATGCCTCTGCGTTCAGCAGCGCTCGGAGCCTGCCATTTGCAGCGCATTGTACCTGGGTGTAGATACACATGTGAAAAACCTGGGATACAAGGCTCTGTGTTTTTCTCTTTGCCACTTTTTGAAGCTAGGATAAATTAATAATTTATGAAAAAAAAGAAAATTCTGCTGTTATTCACAAGTCAGGCTCTAAATAGTCATTTGTCTTAAAAATAGGTTTTAAAATATTTTTGGAGAATGTTCAGAATAGCTATTACATTACAGAGAATTTCCCCTCTTGTAATCTACTGAGAGTATATTTTCCCATCAGAACAGCTTTCCCATTTGTCCTTGGAACATTTCACTTTCATTTTCAAATTGGCTAATTGCAAATTATAAGTATTTTGATTTGGCTTTAATTACCCTTCTGTTGTCCGTAGGAAGATCTGAAAGTGCTTTGAAAATACGAAGCTTTACTTTGCCTTTTTTTTGTTTGTTTGTTTGTTTTGGTTTTTTTTTTTTTTTTGGACTCCTTTCCCTATCTGGAAAATATATCTGTGGAATTTAGAAAGAATTTAGGACACTTAATTTTAGTGAAAACATTTGACATTGAAGTCCAGCTTACTTTTGCTCCTTTTTTTGTTATTGTTGAGATCTTTTTCTTAAAACCATTTAAAAACTCTTCAGGTTTGTGATATGGTTAGGAGAATGAACAACTACACAGGAATGTATTATAGCAAAATTAGCTTCTAGATACCTTACAGTGAGTATGGATCCCCTCCATTTGCTGAATGACATACCCAGGCTTTGGGAAGCTGGTAAGAAGGATTTTTGTATTACACCCACTTGGCAGATCTGTGCAGTATTATTGATTATAGCCTTTGGTGGATTCATGCAAGGTTATTGATTGCTCCTGCATTGAAATGCAGGTTGTGCTTACCTACACTTAAAGCAGGTGTCTTAATTAAAAACCAGGGCAGGAAAGAAAGCGATAAGAGGATAAAATTATTGACTCTCATTTGTCTGCAATCCCCAGAAATTGGTGCTTGTAGCTAATATGAATTGTTGATTAGGTAAAGCATTAACAATAATAATTTTCCCTCCTCATTAACAGCTGCTTGCAGTGGAGAACTGGAACAGCACACAGAGAGAAGGGGAGTCATCTACAGCCCTTCCTGGCCACTAAACTATCCCCCAGCTGTAAACTGCAGCTGGTACATTCAAGGAGATCGTGGAGACATGATAACAATTAGGTATGGTTCGTGATGTTCTGTGGAGATAAAGGGTTGCCTTGCTGAAATGACACAAAATGTGAGTTGTTATCTGATACACTCGTATGAAGCCGCCTGGCAGAGCTACTCCAAGGTAGCCTGGTTGAACACAGGAAGCTGAAGCTGGTTGTGCTGAAGCGTGATTGCAGGGCAGGCACCACTCTCATTTTAGAAATGTTCCAGCTTGTTTGTAGGTTACTTCTGACATCCATTATTATACATGTAAATCACTTGTAGTCTTTTAATATGTTTATCTTCACATTACTTAAGTGAGATCTCATGCAGCTCTGATAGATGAGGAGTTGGGAAACAGTGATGTATTTACTCACATTAAATAGACTTCATTCTCTTAATTGCCTGTAAACAGGGGTAGGTGAAGGCCATAAAACCTGAAGTAGCCCATATTCAGTTGGGCTACTTAAGATTCTTACAGCAAAAACAGCTTGGTCTGTAATCTCTTGAAATGGTGGTATGCTTAATTGCTACAGGAAGATAATCATTGCTTATTGTTACTTGTCAACCAAAACACATGCTTTTTTGCTAAATTTTTCATTTCCACAGAATTAGATAATAGCTATAATTTGTGGCACAGATTCAGCCCTTTCCATGAATCCATGAAAATATAATTCAGAAAAGACTATAATATATTCCGAAAGGTTTTATTAAGATTTCAGGCTATAATATCAACATTCTATGAACGTGCATGATGTCTCTGGGCTAATCATAGCATCCTCGGACCAAGAATTGCTTATTAAAAAAAAAAAGAAAAGAAAACTAGGAGGGTTTTTTGTTTTGTTTTTAGCACTGTCGTATTTGACACCATCTGCTCATTCTTTGCTCAGCTGCTTAAAAAGACTGCAAACCTCTTCAGCTGCAGATGCTCTGCAATTAAAAACAAATCTGCCACAGATGGAATAATAGGAGGGCTCCTTTGTCCATTGTTCAAAATAGGAACTACTCATCAAGAGTAAGGAAGCAGATACCTGCCAGCACTTGAGATCCAAAAATAGAAAGGTGCTTTTAAACTCCATTAAACCGTATTGGGCTTGGGGAATTTGTTTCAAAGCAGAGATTGTCGGAAACTCTGAGGAGGCACATAAATGAGATGCAGAGCTTTGCTCTTGAAAATAACACTGCAATTTATGTCGTGAAACCATCTCGGAGCTTCTAGTTAGAATTGAGATTCTCCTCTGCGAACAGAGTGTAACTGAGCCTCAAGAAATGGGGAAAGCAGGATGAGGAAACTGGTAATAGCACATGGAGTCATATCCTGCTCTCACAGACACGTGCAGACAATGGGAGTTACGTGTTTACATCCGAGGGAGCTGTTTGTGGGTAGCAGATGTGTTGCAGTGTTGCAGTTCTGACTATAGATGGAATGACTCACTGCAGTGATATATGAAATGCAAAGCGTTAACAGCATCTGAGAATTTCTCTAGATGTTTAATGCTGTTTAGAGGGTTGTAGCCCTTGTAAAGCTGGTGACGTAAGGAAGGCAGCTGCCTTGCCCAGGCCAACATGATACAGGCAGACTGGGAGATGGGGTCCAAATACAAGCACTTTTTCCTCTTGACTTGGGGATGCCAGCAATTTGCTGATAGGGGCAAAAAAAGAGTAGCCTGTCTCTTTTTTTTTTTTTTTTTCCTCTCCTTTTCCCTAGGAAAGTCAGACAAAATTAGTTCTTATGATAAGATCTGGATTTTGGAAGGTAAAAAAAAAAAAATTGTGTAATGCATTTCCTTTGATCTTGAATTTTCATTGACAATAAGACAGCAACATTATGTAAGTCGCATATTTGGGATACAGGAAGAAGAATCATTAAGAGATGAAGTTTCAGTTGCAGCTAGTTTTGATTTCTAGATAAACTGCAGTTGGTAGTGAATTTTTAAAAACCTGTTATTCAGCAGCTTTCTGTGGAACAGTACCCAGATCTACATTTGGATGAAAGATACTGTCTCCTGTGGGCATGTCCTTTAGAAGTTTTATTTTAGTATCTACCTCTCATATGTTTGTATAGATTTTCATCATGTTCTTGCATTTCCATGCTTACTGTTTTGCATTATAATATACTTCCCAAATCACTGGGGAGGACTTCACAATAACAAATAAACACATTTTCTTCTTGCCTATGTGTCTCTGCGAGCGAAGCAGGTGTCAGTACTTCTCCCCTAAGTTGGTCTGTTTGCCAGAATCTTGCTGTTAAGACCTGGAAGCAAATTGCTAGGTACTGGGCATGAGTTATCCAGGATTATGTTATGTCATTCTGCATTCAGGTTGTCAGTCTGTTGTTACAGAAGTTTCTCTCATTTCTCTCATTCCCTCTGCTTTTATACCTGTTCTCAGAGGGCTAAGTAAGAAATCCTGTAAGATTAGATAAAGATGGATTGTGCGGTAACTGCCTGTATTGGCTGTATATGAGTATGTTTCCTTAAGTGAGAGAAAAAGATCTTTTTGTTTAGCAGTTATTACTATACCTGCTAAACAGGGCAGACCGCTAAACCGTGGGCAGAATTATTATAGGAAATTATGGAAGTGAGAGTAAAATGTTCTGCATTTTTGGAACTGAGGATAGAGTAGTGAAAGTGATTACTGCTTCCCTAGTGCCCCTCTCAAGCTGTTTCTTAAGAATCCAGCATGGGGGAAGTGCCTTCATTGACTTTATTTCAGTGAAGTGACAGGTCGTTGGCTTTAAAGTTTATCAGATACCATCTGAGCTTAAAATTCTGCACAAAACTGCAGACTGTTCAGGTAAAGGCTTGCTGGTATGTTATCTGACAAACTAAAGAGACTGCTTCAAATTATTTTTTTTGCTGAACTTGGAGTATTTCAAACCCTTACGTTGATTGGAAAAACCTCCTAACAACCATTTATCTTATTAGAGCTGCAGTGCTCAGCTTTTGCAGAATGGGCCGTGTCCCTTCCCTAAGGTTACTGAGTTCGTTGGTGCTCAGGAGCTGGGAATAGAATAGATCCTGACTTGCAGGTCCTTGTGCTTCAGTGGTTAAGCAGAAGTTTTTAATGAGCCAATTAAGTCATCAGTTGTTCACAGCCTGCACTTGCGGTAACAGGCTGGCAAATAGCAGTGACTTCTCTTGCTTAATTGGCTGGTCTGTTTTATTTTGGGGCTGTGCTCTACTGATTTACCCATAATATTTGTTCTCCAGTTTTTTTTAATGAGTTTAGAGGGCCAAATTGGACACTTATTTATTTATTTACTTCCTTTCATTCAGCTTTTACATCTGCTGGGCCTAACAGTTTACCAATTCTTGTGTGTTTTCGTGATCATCTCGTGTTCTGTTCCAGTTATTAAGAATGCATTTTTTTGTGCTTTAATCTGTAGTTGTTTGTGCCTAAATTAGTTAGGAGGGTTGTGGGGAATTCCCAACACTATTTATAAAGCTAACTTCTAGCTGCTGTTGCTCTGCTAAGCAGGGGTGCTGCAGGTAGGGTGGGTTTTGTTTTGGATTTGCAGCAGATCTGAGTGTTTATGACAAGCTGGTCTAAGGAAGTTCTTTCCAGCAATGTGCAAACACCAGCCAGCTGGTAGGAAAGTGTTGTTGTGCGGTGCTGCTGCTTCATTAGAGCAGTTTGACCAGCAGGATATGGTGCATAGCCAAGCCTGTAATCCACAGGGAGCTCTCCAGAGTCCGTCTCGGTACTGGAAGTAACCTTTTTTCCGGGATCATATCATTAGGTGAATTACCAGAATTTTGTAAGAACAGATCCAGTGCTGTGTTTTTCAGCTCCCATTTAGTTATTTTGATCCTCAAAATGTAAATGTTCCTCGTACCTAGTACACTAGTGTATTTTTGTATACTCAATATTTTTTTAAAAAAAAAGAATTGGCTGACAGAGATATTTCTGAAGGATGATAATGAGTTAATGCTTCTGAATACAGCAGAGGTTGAACAGACTGTCCTGAACTCCTGGGTAAAATAAAACAGGGGTTATTTAAGGTCATATTTATATAAGAAATAGTTCTGCCATGTTAAACTTTGCTTTCAAAAATACATTAGCAAACAATAATTATGTATTTGTATATGCACACCTACGTATACATGTTGTTTAATATTTTGTTATAAAGGAGTGTTTTGTGTGGTGAAGATGCTCGACACTTTGTTCCAATGTATCATATTTTTGTTCTGGAGAGAAATTGCTATCAGTTTATAAGGAGCAAAACTCGCCTCTGCTGGAGACAATGTCATGTAGCAGGAAGACTCAGGAAGAATTGCTGTGGAGTGACAGTGCCTTAAAGCAGAACTTTTAAATATGTCTGTTGCTTATAGTTTGCACAAGAGAACGGAATTACTTTGGTTTTGCCCTTACAAGAAGAAGTGCTTATAACTGTTATGTTATCTATTGCGCGTATATATATATATATATATATAAATATCAAAACGAGGGCATCCATATTTCAGAGAAATTTTGTTTATTCAGTGGCATTTCAACTTCCAGGCACTAGTATGTGATTAAGATGCTTATTAAGAAAGGAGTTCATTCCTGTGGATGTTCTCTCTTGCCTTTTGCTAATACGAGGGCATTTGTTTCAGGAAAGGCATCCTCGTGAGGCCTTGTGTGTTAGTGCTTGCAGGGAGGCTTTTAATGATGATGCTTCCTTGCAAGTAGATGCTGTTTTGCAGCCATGTACTTGGCTTGTGACTGAAGCGTGGAGTTTTGTGCTGAGCAGTTTGGGATGTCTGCTCCAGATCTGCAAGGGACCCAGGGAAAATCTGTCGTTCTCTCTGTGTCTGTGCTTCTGCTTTGGAAAGTAGGACTAAAGCTTCTTTGTCATCCAAACCCTTCATAATGCCCCCCAAACCCCTTATTAGTGAGGTGCTGTGAGAAGTTCTCAATGTGCAGGTAGAAGATGCTGTTAATTATATGCATGTGCAGGCTCTGCATATCTAGCCCTGTTATCTGCAGAGGAGTTTGAAAGTGAATGTAGCCAACTTCTCTGTACTGTGTGCATCTTAAATTCACTTTTTTTTTTTCTAGAAATAAATGCATTTTAATATAAGGTGCAGCCAGCTTATTAGAGGGAGAACTTTTCCCCTTAGATGTCTCCAGGCTGTGTTAAGTAGCAATACTGATGTGCAAGTTATTTACGTGAGAGACGGGAGCAGCTTTTTTCCACAGAGTGTGAAAAGTGAGTGGCCTGTGACGCTGCTGGCAGCTGGGAAGGGCAAGAGGACGTTTAGTTCTTTAAGGTTGTTCCTGGTATATGCAAAATAACAGAAGAAGGAAGAGATGCAAAGATCTAGCAAATGATCTCATCTGTCTCTCACAGATTTCCTTCTCCCTCTCATTGCAAAAGGGCAACTATTCCCTTTTCTTACAAAACTTGTTGCTGGGCAGGAATATAATTCTAATGCTTATCCAAAAAGTCTTTATGGCAAGAAAACCCTGCACACAGTCTCCAAGCTGATGATAGAAACCTTTTTGATTCTGGTACCAAAGTGAGTTACAGAAAGCAAACCCGATGTGGTAGCTTAGTAAAGCTGCCTCAGATCGCTTGTGCCAATAGTCTATTACTGCTGCTTTATATAATTCCTTTTCCTTTTTAGTGGTTGCTCATACATTTTACTGGTCATTAAAAGATTTTTTTTTTTTTTTTTTAACACTTAGGACAGGAAAACTTTGGTTTAACTCTTTATGCTTTAATGCTTTATATGCTTTAATTTTTCATGCTGATTGTGAAATCACCTGGAGCTTCTTGGCAGAATCTGTTTGTTCCAGAAGCTTCATGAGATCTGAGTGATCTCCCTCATTCTCACGTATATCACCATAGGGTGATTCTTCCTGGTTGGTGAGATACATACAGCATGATGGGAGAGAGGCAGAAAAGAGAAATGACTTCTTTTGGGTGTTACGTTATGGACATTTCTCAATTTTCATTTTAACTTAACACTTTTAGTGCCCTGTTACTATTTAAGAGAGAGTTTGTATGCTAGTATATGGTGTACGTACGCGTATATGTTGGTTAGAGCTCCTGCCTAGATGAATTGGCTAGTTTACTTGTCTTTCCCTTTCACCTTCAAAGGGAAAGATCTGGCAGGCTTTTACAGCCTTTTGTAGCTATACTGTGATAACAGAAGATTATCTTTCCATTTATCTTTTCCATTGAATTCTTTTCTTCTGTTTGTGTAAGGTTCTTTGTGGAAGGTGGCCTCTATTTTGTAGGAGTATTTCAGCCTTTCTGAAAGTCCTTTCCAAGTGTTTGGATGAAGTACATAGGAAGAAAAAAGGGGGGGCTTGTTTTTATAGGTGCATTATGTGCAAAAGGACCAAAATGTATTTCTAAGTGTCCTTTCACAGTGAGACATGCCTCTGTGTGTGGCTGTTGTCATTGCAGATTACTGAATGCAAGTCTAATCTATGTAATCAGACTGAGCAAATATGCTATATGGTTCCTGAGCTGCGGTTTACAGGTATCATTTGGTTGTGTTCAGTGTCCTGCAAACAATTTGGCACCTCTTTGCCCTACGTAATCTACTATTGAGTTGCTGTTGGGTTGGAGCCAGTGGAAAGGCTGGTTGCCTGACTGTAAAAGGTTGCAGATTTTTTTTACTCTGTACTTGCATTCCAAGCAAGGGAATATTTTTGCCTTTCAATTAAAACATAATAGTGTTTGAGAGATTTTGCAGTTCCATTTTTACGCCTTGATGTCCTGATCTTCTCTTGTCCTCTCCACTCCTATCTATCCATAGTTTGAAGAACCAATTTTATCCTACTTTTTCATCTCCTGAGGAATCTTTGTACTGTTCCCTACTGCTTTCTGTTGTCATCCCTCCCCGCAAAGACAGTAGTCTCCCTTCCTCTTCCATAGATTCATTTTTTTTTTTTTTTTTTTTTTTTAAGGCCGGAAAGGAAATAATTCGCCTTCTGCATAATGTGTACTGGAATTTGTGCTTTCCTTGCGTCTGTGTTTTGGGAAGCAGGTTGTTTAAGAGCTTCCAGTGAAAGAGATCATCTCTTCAACTTTTGGAGTTGTTTGGCATATTGTGTATGCCTGTGAGATTATGTACTTTTCCAAACTGGGGAAACTTGACTGCTGTGTTTACATGTACTCAACATACTGTAGGCGTTTCATTATCTTTGAATATAATCGCTTTATGTCAGTACTGCTTGGTGCAGAAAGTCAACTATTACAGCCTGTTTTTCTCTCATGTTTGGCATGGTTTCAGTTTTCTCTTCTACTTGTGTTTTTGTTTGTTCCTAACAGTTTTAAGAACTTTGACTTGGAAGACTCTCAGAAATGCACAGTAGACTGGTTGATGATTGGCCCTTCTTCCAAGAGGGAGGAATACAAAGTGTGTGGATCTTCCATACCTCCATCTTTCATTTCCTCAAGGGATCACGTTTGGATATTTTTTCACTCCGATGCATCAAGCTCAGGACAGGCTCAGGGATTTCGCCTTTCTTATATTAGAGGTAAAATCTTGCAGTTTCACTGGCTTCTCTAATACGCTCTCTGGCAAAACCAGAAGACAGTATTTATTGACAAGGGTCTTGTGCTGGTCTTAATGACTGTAAGATGCTGGCCATGGTAACAGTGGTATTTTTTCCACTTGGCTTTATTTCAATATTCCTGAAGTGTGCTGGCCTGGGAGACTGAATTGTGACGCACTGGGAAGTAGACTTTTAAAATGTGTCATTGGATGTTTCTGAAAGTTTCATCACTGACTAGTCTCTCCTCCTCTTTCACAGGAAAAATAGGTCAGGCTGTTTGTCAGTCAGACGAATTCCGCTGTGCAAATGGAAAGTGTATTCCCAGCACTTGGAAGTGTAATTCCATGGATGAGTGTGGGGATAACTCAGATGAGAGAAACTGCACTGTCCCTCCAACAGAGCCTCAATCCAGCATCTGTCCCTCAGGAACATTCCAGTGTAGCGTAGTCCATTCCACCAAGTGCTTGACAAACGAGCTGAGATGTAATTCAGTAAAAGACTGCAGTGATGGGTCAGACGAGGATAATTGTCCTGATCTTTCATGTGGTAAAAGGCTGGGTAATTTTTATGGGTCTTTTGCTTCCCCAGATTTATTCCGTGCTGATCACAGCAGATCAGATCTTCGCTGCACATGGTACGTGGACACACAGGATAATCGACACGTTCTGTTGCAGCTTGATTTACAGTTGGGCTACAATGACTATGTAAAGGTGTATGATGGCATTGGGGAAAGAGGTGATAAATTAATGCAAACGTTTTCATATCACAACAACAGGCACTCGGTGAGTGTGGAGTCTTCAAAGGGCCAACTCACTGTCTCGTATCATGCCCGTCCCAAGAGTATTGGCCATGGGTTCAATGCAACATATCAGGTGAAAGGATATTGCCTTCCTTGGGAACACCCTTGCGGAAGTGACGAGGAGTGTTTCACAGACAAGCAGCATTGCGATGGCTGGTGGCACTGTCCAAATGGCAAGGACGAGGAGAACTGTCCCGCTTGCCAGAAGAATGAGTACCCATGTGAAGGAAACAGTGGGCTTTGCTACTCAATACTTGACCGATGTAATAACCAGAAGAACTGCCCGGATGGCTCGGATGAAAAGAACTGCTTTACTTGCCAGCCAGGAAACTTCCATTGTGGTACAAATCTGTGCATCTTTGAGACTTGGCGTTGTGATGGCCAAGAAGACTGCCAGGATGGAAGCGATGAACATAACTGCCTGGTGATCGTGCCCAGGAAGGTCATCACAGCCGCTCTCATCGGGAGTCTCGTGTGTGGCTTGCTGCTGGTGATAGCACTGGGCTGTGCATTTAAGTTATATTCTCTAAGGACCAGGGAATACAGGTGAACATCTTCCTTCTGTGATGCTGTAATAGGTTGAGGCTTTTGTTTATTTAGATAGATTATAAAAGAGAATTTGGGTAATACAGTGAAATTAATTAGAGGAATTGATGATAATTAAGCAGTCACTGCACTGGACTTAGAGCAGTTTAGTTTTTCAGAAGCAGAGGGACGTCAGCTCCTGTGTGTGTCACTGCTCATGCTGTGTGGTATTTGCTGAGCAGTCAGTGTGAGCGCTAACCTCACTGTCCCCCAGCCCCGTTGCACTTGCTGTGTAGCCCGTGTGTGTTTCTCTGGCTGTGTTTGAATGTTTGTGCAAGTGTAGTTTTGCCCTGTGGGAGAAAGAGGTACGGGACTTCGACACCCGTCGCGTGCCCTGGCTCCCTGCCGTGCTGCTGGTTCTGTTTCCAGCACAGTGTGCTTTACATCCTCTCCTGGATCAAATCTGACTAAGGAGCTGGAAAAGCTGCAGTGCTCTGCTGGGAACTGTGATGGTGCCTGGCTCCTGGCGGGAACGGCAGAGCTCTCTGCAGCTGTAAGCCTGCCCCTGTTATGTGATTCTTTCCAGTTCTTAATGTTGTATTTTCCAAAAATAATCTTTGGATCCTTGCTGAGCAAGTTAGTGCTGTTACTGGCGTAAGATGGAACCAGACTGGAAAAACTTTCCTAACCACACAATCCAAGTTGGAACTGCACCAAAGGTTTCTGCTGGTTTGACTCCTTGACTTTTACCCTTTTACTCTTATCCTTTTTACATATTTTAGCATCTTTGCGATAAGATTTTTCACTGGGCCTACTTGAGAGTGTGTCTTTTTCTTCTTGTTACTGTGAATTCCTCCACCCTGCTTTTGTTACATTAATGCGGGGGATGTAGGACAAAATGACAGTTATTTCTCTCTCTCTCTTTCTCTTTTTAACTTTCCTTTTGATTCCAGAGCATTTGAGACCCAGATGACACGACTAGAGGCAGAGTTTGTGCGGCGGGAAGCTCCACCTTCCTATGGGCAGCTGATCGCACAAGGACTTATCCCACCAGTTGAGGACTTCCCTGTGTACAACGCGTCGCAAGTATGGAGACAGCACAGATGAACCTATGGGCAGCCAAAGTACCATAAATTAGATGAAGTCAATCTGGATCTGTATTCTTTCAGCAGTGAAATTGTAGTGGAAGTGCTATTAAAATTGTTTGTTTTCCTTTGTGGTGAAGAACCACAGTTGTCTATCTTAGTCTTGTGGCTGCTTTTGAACACATTGGCTGTATTGCTGATGTTAGCCTTGGTGCTATGTAGTCTGATTATTTAGTGGTGGTCAGATAGGACAAATGGGACATCTTGCTGGACAGACAAGTAGAGGTAAAACTCAAAGAAAACCCTGAAGATTAGAGGTATGTGTGGGGAATGGGTAGGGACAGAGTGTGATTGGCAGCTTATTTATTAGAAAATTTTCATTTTAACAAGGAAGTTAATGGATTAAGGTTAAGAATTCTGGTAGAATGGAGAGATTAGTGGATTAATGGAAAGGGTTGGATTTAGGGGAAGTCATTTAAATTTTTATGAAATTATAGTTTGAATTTATCTGTATTACAGGCTTCTGTGCTGCAGAATATTCGCACAGCCATGAGGAGGCAGATGAGGCGTCACTCGTCGAGACGGAGCTCCTCTCGGAGGCGCTTGGGCAGGCTCTGGAGCAGACTCTTCCACAGGCCGCGGGCGCGAGGACAGATCCCACTCCTGACTCCGGCCCGCGCTTCCCAGACGACGCTGGGTGACGGGATCATCAACCATGCCGAGGGGACCATCAGCCGTGCTGACGGGGCCGTTCGGAGCCCTCCACCTTCCCCCGAAAGACCTAATTTAGAGGCAGATGCTCTTGGCCAGGCCAGGGACCTCCAAGAAGCTGAATGTAGCAGCTTGCAGACAGAGACTGAAACTGCAGAACTGTCTCCCTCCGATGTCTTATCTAGTACTTGCACAGCTGCATATGCAGAGCCTGAGACTGGACACACTGATAAATCTTTAGGTGCTGAGAGCTCTACTAGTGAGCTTAAACAGCCCAGCAAAGTGGATTCAGGAAAGGCTTTCAGAGATCCTTTGTCTGAAAGTGTTACAGAAACGACCCATGGAGGGTCAGCATCCAGAAGGACTGTCACAGAGGGCAGTAGTTCGAGTAGAAGTCATCCATTGAGTGAAGAGCCGTGTAGGTTACCCTTAAAAGCGTGGGGGTCTGCTTATTCAGACAGCCCTGTGAATGTTCATATTCCAGTGGATGGACAAAACCGATGCTGCCCTAACGCATATCGGGAGGAGCCTTTGGGTATTCGTGCGGCTGGTTGCCATTCTGTAGAAGTGCCAATGTTAGAGTCCTCTACTCCCCTCTCAGAAATCAGTACCAGTGATGATGAATCTTTACTTGTTTGCTAATAAAATTTTGTTCCAGCCCTGTAGATTTTGTAACTTCATTGTTTATATGACAGTGCACTTTGATTATTGGTGGTAAGTCTGTGCTCTCGACTTCGTCTGTTGAAACCAGTGTGCTTTAATTCCCCAGGGAGTATAAGACTTAAACAGGACAAGCTTTTGTCTTTGTTGCTATTCCTGAAACTCCAGTGGGGCAGAAATAGGCCAGTACGTGATATCAGGGGCTAGGAGAGCAAGAATGTGTTATTGCAGTTTGGAGGTGTCTCCATCCTCTGTTACTACTTCTGTGCATTTATTCACCTTGCATTCAGGGAATTTGTGTTTCTTTGCTTTTCAAAGTGGTCTTACTGAAAGCGGAGCTCTGTTGGAACCTGGGGTAGGCAGCAGTTGTTGACTGTGTGTAATACACTAGAAAAAAAAGTCATCTTTTCAGACATCATAATTCAATTAAAATTCAATATTTTTAGTTAAGAAGAAATTAGAAGAAAATAAAATCCTTATAGCTTCCTTGTTCTTTTAAGGAAATTGCTCCATTCCTTTCATCCCCCCAGAAATACTACAGTGGACATATGTACCTTGAAGCATCACCAAAGTTTCTTTATAGAATATGCAGAATGAAATCAGGTTTCTTATCTGCTCGAGCTTTGTGATAAGAGGTTATCTGTGTGCAGTATAAGTGAAGTGCATTGAACCCCATTTGCAGCAATATTTCTTTTCTGTGTTGTCATTTGTTATATTGTTTTCATGGTGATGCTGTGAAGATTGAGGTATTACTTTCTCTCTACCCTTTTTCCCCTCTTCACTTCTTTTTTCAGGGACTTTTATGATTATACCACTTGGTGATTGTCCCAAAGGATACTGAGGCTTCACAGCTCCCATTGACAGGAAGCACTGAGCACTTGGTAACGGTCAGGATCAGACTCCTACTTTGTTTTAAATATAATCTACTGTCTGGGTGCAGATCTATAAATCTTTTTTTTTTTTTTTTTTGAATAGCTTTTTTAACTGAAATCAGTGCGACTCAGTGTGTATTTTCTTTCCTTTTTTATTATTTTTCCTTTAAGCTGACACTGTGTGGACTTTGCAACACATTGATGTGGACAGGTGCCTTTTAGTTTTTTAGAGTGTAATTAATGCACGTGAGTTATTTAGCGGGAAGGAAGATGACGTTGCTTAAGCAGGAGTGACTCGGTGCAGAGTGACAGTGTTGCTGTGTGACGCTTGGCCCTGTTGCTGCGGACGGGGCTCTGCCATTAACTCGCTTTTGGCCATGTTCTGATGGGCTCTGATTCAATTTCCCTGTGATGCAGTGACAAACCCAACTGCTTTATAGAGAAAGGGAGAAGGAAGTTAATGACATTGCTGCCCTGTCAGGTGCTCGGTGCCCTGGGGCCAGCCTGCTCTGGTGCTGCAGGAATTCGGGTGCCTCAAGCTCTTAGCGGAGTTTGTGGAGCAGAGGGGACTTGGTCATCAGCAGAGCCGGGCGCTGCGAGCGCGGTGGGAAACTGGCTTGTGCAACCAGCAGTGTGTTAGCGTCATCAGAGATGTTCTTCCTTTCAATGGGTTGTATTTTTGTCCTGCATCTTTTTCCTGGCTCTCCCTTTGGGAGTTCCTTACAGAGACCAAGGAATAGGCCTTCGGCTCTACCAAAACATAATCCAGAAGAATTACATGTGTGGTGTGTGTGTGTGTGTTTTTTTTTTTTTTTTTTTTTTTTCTTCTTCTTCTTCTTCTTCAGATACAAATTACTTTCATAGGGTGTGTTCCAGCAGCAGAAGATTCAAATTCTTTAAGAGCATTAATGGCAGGAAGAGGTTGTGTGGCAAAATGTGTAGTGAGTAAGAATCATAGTTACATGAAATAACTACTGCTCACGCTTCTCTTTTCCAAGTTTTTTTGTGATCAGGATTCTTTTCATCAAAGCAAATGTAGTTTTAAGAGATTTTACTTTTATAACATTTATAAACATTTAGGTGCATTCCACCTTTGAAAGGTCAAGTACCGTAGTCATTACACTGCCAGTGCTGTTTGTGTCTAAGGCTACAGGTTTTAGTGCTGGGGGATTTTTTTTTCTTCTTTTTGTGCTCTAAGGGTAATTTTAAATGCATAGAATTGTATTTATAAAATAGTAAACTTAATTGGAAGGAAGATTATATTTCAAGGTTAATATTGTACGGACATGAAGGACCTTATAAATAAGTGTATATTTAGTTCTGTTGCAGAAATGTATTTCTATAATAAAATCATTTTGATCATGCTATGCCTTAAATTATTATCACCACTGTAAGGCTCTTAAAATGAAATATGTGCTCCAAAATACTGTTATATTTTGGGTACAGCTCTAAATAGCTAACTCTGTATTACTGTATTTTACTTTAAAATGTGTAATTTCACATAATTTCTTACATATACATATTTTGTGTACAGATCCATTTGTTAACGCAATGGAAATTCCAGTGAGGAGGTTTTGTTTTAGAGACTTATCCGGGTTAATGAAAATTTGATGCTTGTGTACAGAAATGTTCACAACCCTCACTATTGAAATTTATAGCCCTGCAAAATGAGATATGTCTAATGCTTTTTGTAAGCACATAACTTTTGTATTCTGCAATAAAATACTCTCTCCTGCTTTCCCAAGCCTGTTCCTTAAAGTGAGGAGTCACACACTTACTGTTAATTTTGCAGAAGAAGTCTGCGTGTGTGCTGGGGCACGGACAAATTGTGCATTGCGGTGTCTCGTCAGGGAGATACCAGAAAGAAACCACGGACTCTGCCTTACTATGTCTGCCCTTTCTGCAGCCTTTAAGCATTATACAGTGAACTCTCCTTCCCTGGAGGTCACCTCAGCTCCATTTCATGTTAGTCGTCTCCTTATATTCACAACTTCTAAAAAATACTGGGGAAAACTGCTGCTGGGCCAGGAATGTAAACAGGAAAATTTCATTGCTAGGATTTCGTTCTTCAGCTTGAGTGTGCAAAAGAAATTATCCCATTTTAATGGCTATATGACTTAAAGTGTATCAGCTACTCAAATACAACACTTTAGTGGGTTATTTTTGCTGCTTTAGTAATACTTTTGTGGTTTTTAAAGTTTTTCGTGGACAGAAGAAAAAAATCCTGAAATATATATCTTGTGTGTGTGTGTGTGTATGTGTATATATATACACACATGTATATACATGCATACATGCTGCAAAACTCTTCTGTGAAAATAATCTGAAAAACCTGCCAAAAAAAAGGAATAAAGAAGAATCCCTAAACTTTTCCTTAATTTTAGAAAAACAGAAGCTCCTAGGCAGCATCAAGGGAAAACACTTTGGGATATTTCTGTGTGTGAGATGATCATTTTCCAGTTTGTGTGTGACTCTGTAATGTTCCTTAGATGAAAACCTTTTTCCTTCTGTCTTCTGCTTTGCTTTTTATTTACATGTTGTGTGTATATATATATAAAAAAATACAACCTTTTGCCATAATGTATGTACAGATATATCGTTCGGGTATGGCATAATGGTTACTAGTGTTTTCTGGTTCCTGGACAGCAAGTAAGATGCTGGGCATCGTCATACTTTGCTCTTGATCTCATTAATTTTTAATAAAATTTCACATGCCTGGAGGCTGTGGGCTCCCGACGGTCACTCTCACCCTGCGGTCCGAGCCCCGTGTGCGCTGCCCTCGCATGTTTCCTGGAAACGTGGAAGATGTTCCTGCCTGTCTGGGCTTTTTGCTGGGAGCTCGGGTTCTGTATGGATTCACACGTGTGCCTGGGGATACCTGGTATACCTGTAGTTACTTTTCTTTACAGCGGATAGGAAATCTTACCCCTAGCACTGTGCTCTCTGCCTTAAGGCATGCGTGCGTTTACCCAAGTAGCAAGGAGAAGCTTTAGAGGGCTCGGTGCTTTAGAGGGCTTCGCTCTAGACTTGCGACCCAAACACAGCTGATTCCTAAGGCGTAGCCGCCGCTCCTCGCGCTGGGGACGCCTCTGGCTTCGCCGCGCCGCCTCGCGCTCCGGTGGCATCGCTGCTGCTCTTCGGTCCGTCGTTCGTCCACTGCCGGGTTGTGGCCATTGTGTTCTTGGCCGCGGAGAGCAAATGATCACGAAGGCAGCTGTGAGTGGAAGAAGTTTCTGTTTTATTCCCTTCTTTCTTTTCTTTTTTCTCTCCCCCACATTTTCTGCTTCATGCATCTTCTTTTGCTGATTCTTGTCTTAGGTCTTAACGAAAAAAGTCATTGGAACCTCCATTACCAAGCATCTCTCCTGGCCTATTGTGAATGAATCTTTTTTTACGGGATTTACCTTTCTTGTTTATCTAAGTCACAAAAGATCATTTCGCAAGTAGTCGATGCTAGAGCCCTGACTCAGATGTGGTAGAAAGTGTTTCAGCTGCTTCAGAAAAAGGCAATTTCTGAACAAAGGTAACTTTTTTTTTTGGGGGGGGGGGGGGAGGGTGTTTTTACTTTTGACGTGCTTCAGCATCTCTTAAAAACCTCCTCAGCAGCTCAACAGCTGATAACTTCTTGTCATTTTGTGGTTGGAGCAAAAGAGCCAGCAAGCAAATGTGTTTCGTTTTCAAGGTTTCAAACATTGACAAATGAGAGAGTGAAAAATGAGAAACACTTTACAACATTGCCGGTAAGGTAAGAAGTTAATGCATTTGTTGCAGCTGAGGCACAGACCATGCATCATCCTCTCTGCCTTAAGGTTTCTTCTTCAGAGCTTAAGAATTTATATGCAGGCAATTGTGATTTATATGTCAATAAAATGAAAGCTAAAATCTTTCAGGAAGAAAAATCAAGGAGGGTTTTAATCACTGCAGCAAGTCCATCAAAATTGCAGGTTCTCAAAGAGCACAACCTTTCTTTTGGAAGCTACTTGCTTTTCACTATCAAGTAGCACAAGGTTCTTGACATTTTTGTCACATCAACTGTTGAGCTTTTCTTTCATTCAGTGAGCTTTAAAATGATGGTAAGTATGTCTCCTTTGGGCTTTTTGCTTCATCTTTCAGAATAATTGTACATATGCAGATTTGAGCATGCTACTACATTTCATTTAGCATATCAAATTATCTGTCTGGTTTTGCACACAGATTTCTACGATTAGAAATCATATATGTTAGGAACTAACTTTTGCAAAGCCCTTTAAAAATAATTTATGTGATGCTGGAAGCAAAGATGGAACTGCTTCTAAAAATGAAATAAGACATCTTGGAGCAGCTTTCAGGGAAGTGTAGCTAGTGCAGAGCTGAGCTCTGCGAAACCAGTCTGCTCTAAATTCTGCCTTCTGATTTCTAAGGCTGGATGTTGATTATTTCAAAGCATGAAAGTACAATAATGGAAAACTTGACCCCAAACCAGTTAACAGCTATGAAGCAATTGGTCCTTTAATCC